CTAGTTTACTCTTTTCTTTCAAAGTTTGCAATAGGCCTATACTCTGACTTTCCATAACCCCATGCAACCAAAATATTTTGCTGATATCTTGATAGATCTCCCACTTTTGTCCCCCCCTAAAACGGTCCACACTAAAAAAATCAATAATCGTATGGCAATTTTATACAGGCAATTGACCTACTTTTATACCTATGCAGCTATTGTCGAGTATTATGACTGTGAAATGAAGACGTGTAACATGTCTGTGATATAAAAGTTATTTCTAATTACATAATTTACAAACAGTGCGTCTGAATAAAAAATGTCCCTATTTGTGAGCAAAAGGGGATATTACTCTTTGAAAATAATGATTAAAAAATAGAAACAAGCCAAAATAATGAAAAAATGCATTTTTTCTCTTATATGCAAATTAGGTCCCCTGAAGTAATATATGACTGGCCGGATGTGAGGTTCATATCAGAGATTTGTAATGGTGATGAGCTTGATGGCCTTGATGATTTTGATGGTGATTGAAAATTTCTTATCAAAGTTTTCAATTGCCATCTAGTGAGATAGAAATTTTCTGCATTTTAAAACACAATCATTCCACGAGCGAAGTAAACTATCCCCTTCCCTGCACCACACTTTATACAGACTTGACATTTAACATGGAATATTTTTTCCAAATCATAATTCATCAGTTTTTTTCCTATTTTGCTGGCTGATAAATGAAAATAAGGATTAAAATCGTGTTTTAATAATTTTTGATAATCTATTCGATGTCAGTGTGACATCAGTTCATAAACTGAATTCGCCAGTGAAGCATACAAAAATACATTGCCTATTTTAAGTCATACGACATCCATTGAAAGCGATATATTGGATCTCCTTATTTTCCTAATTATTGCCGTTAAAAGAGTTACACGTCCCACAAAGGCCCCCCATGTCAGTGTCTAGTCACAGCAACAGTCGCTGTTACGCTTGACCTTATCTTGCTGCTACAAGAGGTTTCAAGCCGCTAGGTATTCCTTATGATAGGTTTTTAGATTTTAATCTGAAATAAAATTCCAGACAACGGTTAAAACTTGTCCAATTTGGCTCAGTTTTGTTGTAGGACATGCAGGCCGTTGATACGGCGAGTAATGACCTACCGACATATTGTCTATGTGGTTCAATTATGGCGATTTTGATGACCAAGGTAGCTACTCATTCCCTTGGTTCTGTAAGTTATCTGCTATTAAAAGTGCTCTGTGTGCACCGGCAATCTCATCGTGCAACCTAGAATTGTTCCTAAGGTGCCCTCTATCAAATGATAGTCAAGTGGTTCCCAGATTATTCCTTTATTTGATCTGGTTCAGGTTTTCATCGATGACTACCATTGGTGTTTTGGCACCAATGTGGTATCCACTCCAAATGCTGACACTGCCAATGACCCTGATCACTTAAGAAGTGGCCCCTCATTCAAAACGGACTGGGTGGTTTTGTTTTAATTGCAGCAGCATATCCTGAAGGACAGTGAGTCCTGTACCCTGGTGGTAAGACGTCAATGCATTGGGCGTGGTCTCTGTGTAGGTACATCAGTCTGGTCATTACTCTATAAAACTGTTTAGACCATTCCGTTTGACACAATAATCTGTCTGGCAATGACTGTGCTTTTCGCGCCATTCTGGCACAGCTTAACAATTTTGTAAAACACTGCTTAACTCATTTTACGCACTGCAAAACCGATCGCTTGCATACAAAATTTCAAATTCTTCTATGCAGTAGTTGCCGATATATGGTTACTGTTTTGCCAGAACCATGCTTCGCCAAAGCCAAGCTTTGACCAGCCCAAAGGAGCACTGCCCAGGTAAATCACTGCGTATTACACAAGGCAACAGAGCAACAGACTTGGTAGTCAGTTAATTGGCAGCGACACACCTGACTTCACACTTCTCCAGCCAGATGTCTTATATGAGATCTGCATTTTTTGAAAAAAGAACGAATTTTTACCTAGGTATACCTTTAAAACTGAAATATTCCATATCAAATGTCAAGTCTGTATATAAGTAAAAGCACATTTCCTTAGATACACCTCTATTCTGTGAATGTAATGTGTCGTTCACAGGACAGCTCTCCCTGGCGCTCTTCTGACGCACTGCGTTGTGTGGTGGTTGCCATCAGCCTGTGGCCTATCCAATAGACGGGCAACGTTGACACATTATACGCCGGTAGATTACTTATATCTTTTTTATATTCATTTTTCTTTTAATGAATAAACGATTCCTTATATTGAGGCGCGTATAAAAAGTAACTGCTATATTATCTTAATGGACTGTTCATAAAGTGCAGGGGGGGGGGGGTGAGAGGGGCGAATGGTGAGAGGAGGGGCAGATACTTTTTTTGTGTACTAAAAGGGGTGGACCAAAAAAAAAAAAAAATTAAACCATGTATTTGGGGTGGGCCAAAACTAAATAAGCTTCAATTTTGGCACTAACCATGTGCAATTTTTTAGAACACTTGAAATAAAACAGCCTGAAACAGGTCTGAAAACATCTGGTTCTTTTTTCACAAGCGATTTTAAGAACAAACAACAGCAGTTTCTTGTAGTTATTAAAGAGCAGTCATAAAAGCATATGGTTCAGAAATACTGTCACGTACATTATATTGAACCACTTGAAATATCACTGCAAACTGTCGGGAAAAGCCGAAGGAAGGTACAAAGGCCACTAGTTTTTGGGCATGTTTTATGGTTGCAAATAAATGAGGATGGGCTACACAAAAAGTAACTTGCTATTATATGATTTTTCCGACCCCCCTCCTCTCGTCCCTCATCTCAACCCTCGGGACAGGCTTACATTTACCACCCAAACCCAATATATAGGTGCATTTCACATGCTGAAATGTCCAAAAATAAAACTGAATGGATGAATTGAAAGTTGTATTCAATTTTCTAAAACATGTTTATAGAACAAAAATCCATGACTGTCTCAATTTAAATTCAAATTTTAATTTTTACCATGTCTTTACATTACGCAAAGAGCCCTAAATGGTAACGGTTGGGGAGACCGGGGCTAGTTGGACCCCGGGGTAAGTTGGCCCCCCATCAAGTCTCTTTAATAAAGTTACTGTAAAATGCTAAATTATTTCATTTGGACTCACTGTCGACGCTTTCTTAGCACTATTGGATAAAGTCACTTTACAAAATGATGTGATCAATTCTTTTACCCCATAGTTACTTCGTCATAAATTGATGGAGGGGCCAACTTACCCCGGGGTCCAACTAGCCCTGGTCTCCCCTATGTTCCGGGTCATTTAATTTTAATGTCATAAGATCTCCTTTTGTGTAGGCTTACACAATGAACGAGTATTTTTCAGTAGGGTACTTGTGTAAATTAAATGGCCATAAATTAAAACAATGCAAATTAATCACAAAATATTTATTTTCATTTTAATTCAAAGACTGGCGTAGGAGCTACGATTGTGAACTTTATTGCCGGCAATAGTTTCACTCAAGACATTTCATTACAATTCCTACAAATCAATTATCATAATCGGGTTCTCTGCAGGGGCGGATTTAGGGCGTCTTCTGGGTCTTCCGGAAGACGGTCAGATTTTCAAGTTTACATTGGCAGGTATCTTATTTTTTCTGTCGGAAGACGGTCAAAAATGAAGAACGGATCAACAAAGATAATTTGGAAGACTGTCAGGAAATAACTCTGAATCCGCCCCTGCTCTGCAGGAAAGTGATTATATTCCAATACCAGATGTTGGCCGTAAGTTCCGAACTCTCGAAGGTGAGGCAGTGTCAATTTCTAATGGTACTTAAAACGGGGTACTGTGAAGAGGGGTATGTCTTCCGTTGTGATTTTTTTTTTTTTTTTGGGGGGGGGGTGCATGAGGAGTTGGGGGTATTTGGTTATAAGAAATACATGTAATTTGTGAAAACAATGATATTTCACTCTTCAGTTTCTTAGAATGGCTTTTTTGAAGAAATTTACTTCCTCCAAATGAAAGTGTTACAGTGTACTTTGGGGCAGTTTTTCTCTCTCTGCTCCATATTTCGGTTTCATGAACTTAAATAAATCATTAGAAATTAGTGGAAAAAGAAAGAAAAGTGTACTTTGCGTGTGGCATTGTTTTTTCAAAACATGGGAAATGTAGTACTTAAAAAATATGCTAACAGATCCCTGTCTTCTCATTGATTTTTACATGCTATCTGCACATATCTCAAAAATTAGCTTCTCTAGCTGCAGAAATCTGTTGACAGAAAATCCATCTGATCACAAGGTAATTATTGATATACATGTATCATATAAGTCCCCCCCCCCCCGTATCGCCCCACATCTCGGGTCCTACGTACCCCCCAACCAGGGCGGCAGATATAATATATTCACATTTCCACCAGCCACAGTTAGTAGCTTGACTATATTTATTTATTTATTTTATTTATGAGAAAGTAGCTACCGTCACAAGTTTGCAACATATATCGCTACAGACCTGGTTTTCAATCACCAAGCGGTTGCTGACAGGTTGTTTATCGCTCGGCAAACCGTGTGTGACTGCATTGCACCCTCATAAATGCCAATAAAGTTTGATAAACATATTTGATAAACATGAAGCATGTTATTTGTAAAATCTGTGGAACTCGTCAAAATGTTGACTGCAGGATAGTGAAGATACTATTGGTCGTCTTGAAAAAAAGAAAGGCTAACTTTTTAAAGACGCCCCTAAAATATTAAGATGGCAATTTTACAGTACTGTTAGTATTGTTCTTAATTAAAAATTGATATACATCACCAGTGCCTGGATTTCAGATAAATTATTGATAATTTCTCATTGTAATATTTATCACTACCGTTATTTACAGTATATCCCTGTAGCCCTGTTTTATACTTATCAGAATTGTTATATTGTCATTTTCTTATCATAGCCATTATCATCATTGTGATTTTATTATTTTTACTTTGAAGCCCAGCTGTGAAGTCAATGGTTCATCAACAATGGAAAGGGTGCATATGTCGCTCGCCGCCAATGTTTTCCCGGATCCAGAAGGAGAAATGTCCGTTTATATGGAAGACAACGGTGACCCAGAGTACAAGTTGGGGAATTCTCGGTGGTATCCTTTAGGAAACGGCTCTTACGCCAACAAGTGCGAAGAGATTTTGTTCAACGAAGCCGTCACGACCGCTCGCCTTCGCATCGACTATCTCCCCAACAACACGTTGGTCGCTGCTGCAGACTATATGCGTGTTATAGGGCGACCGACAATATACTTTGTGGGTTTGTTCTTCAACGTGCTTTGTGTGTGTGTCCTGTTGAGGCGGGGATTACGCAGAGTGGCCACTTGTAATATCATGATAGCTTTGGCTGTCGCTGACTGCTGTACCATGATCAACGGCATCTTCTACTGGGTCGAGTACGAGCTCCTTCATCCAGCGATGACAGCCAGTAGAGGGCTCTGTGGTCTGACTGTATTCACGGTGTATTTCGCACCTGAAATGAGTGCGTGTATGATAATGTTGATGAGCGGGGAGAGACTCCTCAGACATATTAACACTCCAAAACACGAGGTATTTTTTTCAATAAGGAAAACTCGGATTTACATCTTTGCGATCGCGGTTTTCCTCATCATTTTGAACATCCCTATCCCTTTATTTGATATTTATTTCTTTGAGTGTGGGCGGCAGATATGCTGGAATATCTACCACGATTCTCCAGAACTCCTGAAAATACACAATGATAATTCAGGTAAGCTAGCTACAGTGAAATATTCAACCATGTACAACATGTATATTAGCCAGTATATCAGTAAGATTTGTGGTTGAGCTTAAAACGATGCACAATAATTTGCAAGACTTGTTAGTTTTTAGGAGAATGATAAGCTATACTCAAAATGTTTAATTTGCTTTTTAGGCGATGTCGCAGATTACTATTCGGCATACAAATGGGTGGCTCTATCGATATATTGGATCATTCCTTTTTTCGGCTTGCCAATCATTAACACCAGGCTAGTGTGTGCCGTCTGGAAAGATAATAAGAAGAAAGGGTCGCAAGTACCGGAACCCTCCATACCAACCCCAGACTCCGGTGTATATAGAGACTGGCAAGTCGAAGAACAGAAGAGCGTCACTAGAATGCTCATCTCCGTTACAGTGGCATACTGGATCATGACAACGGGATTCAACATGATTCAGGCTAATATTATCAAAATATATGGGTCTACTACCGATTACGAGAGAGCAAAGTTTTCTATGATTTACACAGTTTTCATACTATTATTTTACATGAATCATGCCTCGAATTTCTTTCTTTACTGCTTGAGTGCCCGCCCATACAGGGAAGAATTAAAAGCAATGTGGCTTGATGCCAAAGAATTAATTTACATAAAAATTTGGATAAAGATGAAGGAAGCTAGAAGGTCCCACGTGCGCAGAAGTACCTCTTCTTATGGCAGCATGCCTCACCTCGCCGCCAATCAGGATGTGTGACGTACATGGTACATAGCCTTCGTAACTTTCACTTTTCATGCTGTTATAGTAACAAAAACGACATTGTGTGGAATTTGCTTTTTATTACCTAGTTCGTTTTCCTATTTAATGACTCGTAGTAAAAACCAATTGTGTTTGATATACTAACCAGATATAAAATATATCTAACACTGCATGCCTAATGATTTGCTCTAATATTTGAAATAAANAAAACGACATTGTGTGGAATTTGCTTTTTATTACCTAGTTCGTTTTCCTATTTAATGACTCGTAGTAAAAACCAATTGTGTTTGATATACTAACCAGATATAAAATATATCTAACACTGCATGCCTAATGATTTGCTCTAATATTTGAATTAAATACTGTATTGATTATATTGATATCCGCTGTAGTGTCAGGATTCACTACTGACATTCGCTGTAGTGTCAGGATTATCACTATACTGACATCAGCTGTAGTGTCAGGATTATCACTACTGGCATCCGCTGTAGTGTCAGAATTATCACTACTGACATTCGCTGTAGTGTCAGCATTATCACTACTGACATCGTCTGTAGTGTCAGGATTATCACTACTGACATCCGCTGTAGTGTCAGGATTATCAGGTTTATCAAAGCCGACATCTGTAATATTAAAAATAATTTGTATAATCCAGACTTTTTATATTAACACATTTTAGATTATACGACTAGGTTCTTGTAAATGAAAAGGTGGAGGTACTTTTCTATATGGGAATACACCAACTTTCCACTTAGGGATATTGAAAATTTTGTCATGCAACAAAACATTTTATTTGAAACATTTTTATTTTGAATAAGCTGTTTTTTATGAATATGTAATTACATAAGCTGAATTTTGCTGTGTTTATGTTGTATTGCATACATAATATGATCAACAAATAAAATTTATTGTAAAAAGAGAGAATTTTACGTAGGATTGTTCTTGGTTCCAAGATCAAATCACTTTCTTGTAATTTACTAGCCCGTCCACAGTCCGTCTAGCCAAACCAACCCGTCATTTTCAAAAAAATCCGTATAACTTTATTTGGAAGTAAAGGCCAATGGCCATTCAAATGACGGCTTGACGGCTCTTTGGGGAAAGCCGTGCAAGTGCCAGACGCCCTACAAACGGTAATTTCATTTTTTTTTTCTATAAAGCAGGCGCAATTATACATGTCAAAAAATGTTTGGTTACGAAAGCACTTACGCTGAACCACTTATTGCCAAAAGTGAATGAACATTAGTAAACCCTAAGACACACTAAGAATTTATGTTGGAAAACTCAGAAATACTCGATAAATCACACCAATATTTCCCTCTTGAAATTAGAAATTTGACTTGCTGAATCATAGTTCTAAACCGTACCAAATGGCACCGTTTGCCCAGTAAAATACCAAAAATGTTCGTGGCCTTTGAGCAGGCCTCGAACCCCACGCCAAAGAGGGGGGAGGGCGTGTCGGCTTCGCATCCG